CCATCCCAAACAGCACTACCCGTAATTAAAATAAACCCACTAGTAAGTAAAATTTAGTAAAAAAATCAAAGGGAAAACAAAACAAGTGAAAATGAGAAATAATAATTTGTGAATTAAAAAATTCAGAAAGTAGTTAGTTGCAAATAGGTGGTTTGCTGGTGCTCTAGTGTGGTTTGCTCCTTCTTTCCTATAAAAAAATCTATCGTCTCTATTTCCGCTCCTTCTTTTTTGTGTTTGTTACTCTCTTGTAACATCTCTAATCTTCTGTACTTATATGACCTTATTGTGTTGCACGTGCCGTAAAACTCTTACTAAAACTTTAAAAAGTTGCAAATAGAATTTAAATCCGCAATTTTTGTTTTCACAGAGGGAAGAAACGTGCTCGTGGACTACAGACTAGCACAGACCGTGGAAGCTTTCAGATCAGCGGCAATTACGTCATCGATTTCTGTGTTGTCGTTAATTGTATGGCTCACGATGTCTACTCCTTTTTCCCTCATCGTCTCGTGACACACGACATTTTAAAAATAAAGTAAGCCTCTTTTCTCTTCCACCTAGAGCCATTCTAATTGGGGATGTATATTATTGAAATAGATAACATACTACTTGTAGAAAAGGTTATTGTGAGTAGTTAACCATTTCAATGATCGAAATATAATAATATTAGGACTTGTTTTTTATGTAAGTTTTGACTCCCCACCTCCCCTCAATAACCACACACACACACACACAAACACACACACACACATACACACACACACACACACACACACACACACACACACACACACACATACGCACACGGTTTACACACAATGAGAAACCGTATATATATTGGAATCTGAATTTCAGTGTGATGCCTTGTTTTTTCTGCTCTTAAAATTTCTGCTTTGTTCGTATCTTCTTTCAAGTCATAAATGAAAGGCGGACACTGGTTGAACGCGTTGTGATTTTAACGCCTGTAATGGTTATTTAAAGCAGTCCATAATCAGCCTTAGAAAGATCATGGAAATCGGCTAGCCGGAGATCATCAGAAATGTTGTGCTAGAGAGAACTAAACAACAACCACCTGACTGTGAGATTAACAATATGAACATGGAAATGAGTGGGTGGTTAGTGGGTGTTCTGTTGGGATTTGCTCCTTCTTTTCTATCAAACATCTATAGTCCTGATCTCTCCTCCTTCCATTTTTTTGCTTGTTACTCTCTTGTAACACCTCTAATTTTCGGCACTTATGTGACCTTCTTATGTTACACATACCGTAAAAGTCTTACTAAAAAAACCCCAAATGGAAATGGATTCAACAAGCACCTAAGAAGCCAGCGCATGATCTGATAAGTCAAAGCATGAGATGGAATCCCCAGGGGAGGAGTAGAAGAGGCAAGCTGCAATCTACCTGAGAACGAGATTTGGGTGCAGATCTTAGGCATGTTGTTATAGGTGAGGTAGCGTGGGGAAGTCAGGCTCTCGTCAAAATAATGAGATTGAAGAAATTAGCATGTTTCCTCCGGTTTGGCAATTTTTTTTCGGAATTTTGTTCTTGCTTTATCACCTTTTATGTCTATTTAAGAACACATTCATGTAAGGGTTTTTCTGAAAAACAAGGATTAAAAATGTACATTTTCAGATTTGACGGACTACCAAGCCTAGGAAATAACCAAACGTTGGCAGATATTTTCTCTCTAATTCTACCCCTGAAATCAGGCGACCCTCATCTCCTTCAACCGCAAATATCTCAACATGAAATTCTGGATACATGGTTTTCTTTTCGTTGAAAGCAAGGCAAGTGAACAAGCTTTAAGTTTATACCAATAAATCCACATGCCTCTAAAATTGACGAGCGGCTGTTTCCACTGCGCTGTGACACAGTTGGGTGGAGGTGGAGAAGACCACCCAGAACAGAAACAGGTGGCAAACCCTTCTTGGCGATCTATACACAATGCCGGCGTGAAAGAGGCTGGTGATGATCAATAATAATATTACTATAATTGTCAGAATTGTTGTTGTTGTTGTTGTTGTTGTTGTTGTTGTTGTTGTTGTTGTTGTTGTTGTTGTTGTTGTTGTTGTCTTCGTCGTCGTTGTCGTTGACTATATCATCATGTTATTTTGACATGTACTATCATCATTATAGCCGTCATTCTTCTTCTTTTTTTTGTTGTTAGTGTCAAACTTCCTTGTCGTTTCGTTGTTTTTTTTCGAAAGTATAACGACGATTATTTCGTAGTAAAGTGCGCATGCCTATTATATTCATGCACTGCACTTTTTGAAAAATCGAGTCTTTTCCACAATATTATACGTCTTGTATTTTGAAAATGTTGAGTTATTACTTTTATGACTTACTGTTTTGTAATGTTTAAAATATTATTACTTTTAATGCTAAACGTTTACTTGTTACCATTTTGGTTCTGTAATTTTTAAAGTGTCATTTCTTTTATACATTTACTTACTTTTTCCACTATGTTTCTGTAATGTATAAACATTTATTAGCTTATTCAGAAAAGATGTGTGTAGACTAAATTTGTCTTATAAACTTTCATTAATGCATGGAGAAATATTGTAGCTTATACGACTTATATATGTACTTTGTTTCGAATTGCCAATAAAAATCAAATTACAATATAGTATTTGTAAATATTCTACGCCCCGATAGTCACTTTTAAGGCGTGGGTGGTTGGGGGATACACTTGTGTGGTTTGCTCCTTCTTTCCTATCAAACATCTGTCATCCTTATCTCCCCTCATTTTTTGTATATGTAACACATAATCTATTCTTCGGCATTTATATGGTCTTATTGAGTTGCAAGTGCCGTAAAACTTTTTCTAAAACAAACCTTTAAGGCTAATTAGTAAGCGGGTTAAAAAAAATCATTTCCATCTGTCATGCCCAACCTGACTGAGAAGAGGGGGAAAAAGGGGGGGGGGGGGGGGGAGAAGGTACAGCTTCTCAAAAATTCTCAAAAACTGTTTTAATTGCTAGATCAAAAACAGTCACCATTGATGGCAGCTCTGCTTTCACTCCCCTGTACTGATGGTCTCACTCTTTAAAAACGTTACAGTATCTACAGTGTATAGAAGGTCGTTGAATCCGCATCGCCCGTCTTCTTCTAATGCCAGATCTTAAACAGACATCAGCGACCATAGTTCTTAACTAGCTCTCCCTACTCAGACGCTACCACAAAACCCATCATTACCCTGGTACCATGGTATCCTCCAATCATCCATCATTACTGTAAGTTATTTTAAGTCTATCCATGTCCCTTTCGCCTTCGGATCCTCTCATCTTTTCTTCTGCTTTCTGATCCTCTCCTTTGCCTCCTTAATCTGTGACTTATGGGTCAATCTTTGCGACAGTGCGGTCAAATATTCGTGTAGCAACTTATCCTTACATATCTCTTAAACGGGTGAAGCATCGTCACCCATAGTTAGCACAGCAGTTTGTGTCAATTTGTCTTAACTTAATCATATTTTTTTCTACGATTGAGGCTAGGCTAAAAAACTTTTTTTCAAAATTTTATATTAAATACTATAAATCTCAGTCACGCGAAAGATGGGATTGTTCACAGCACTTACCGCTTCTCGCACACATTAATTTTCATACGCATATGGCTTACGTCACAAGTCGTCAATGACACTTTTTAGCGGCAAAACTTGTTACAAGAAATTAATTTTATAATAAACACTTTTTACGCCAACGGTTCTCAAGACATGCCTTTAACAAGCATAAAGTCGCTATTAGAAGTCAATGACGGACTTTCTTTTGAAAGCGATATTGCCCAAGCTGTAAACTTTTTAAAATCTGGAGAAACGATGGGCTGGGATTTTTTAAATTAGTATAATTATTTATTAAATAATTTTCTTGAATACAATGTACAAGTGTTTGAAAAAAACACAACAACTTATATTCACCAGTTAAGACAAATTAATTCAAGTCATTGTGAAAAAGCTGGAGAATCTATGTTCAATAGTTAAGGAGATATTTGACAATAAGTTGCCCCACGAATTTTTGACCGCAATAAATAGTCCATGTGTTCTTGTGAATAAGACCATGTCGTTCCCTACACATGTACCGGTAGTTATAATATTATGCCCGACTCGAGATTTACTCTGGATCTGTGTACCGGGACGAGACGTGGACACGTCCCTTTGGGAAATCTGTAAATGTAAACAGACATTTGTAAACTCTGCAGTGTCCCTAGCTCTTTTTCTTTTTTTTTGG